TTAGCAACTGGCCACGGATCACGTTGAAGTTGTTCCAGAATTGAAGTCAAGATGAATTCACACTGTTGAACGGGTAAGAGGAAGCTAGATAATAAAGTCAGTTAAAAATCACAAACTCCAGGTAATTTAAACCATTTTTTGATCATATGTCAATCACATACCGACTAGCTCCCATGTTCGGCGGGACTCCAGGTTGACCGGGTCTTTGAACTTGAGGACGTAGCCCAAGCATATCTTGAACTTGTTTTGGCGTGTATTCTTTGGTTCCTCGGAAAACGTACGATTTGGGGCATTCACTATATCCAAGTTCATGAACTTGCGCCTTAATGCATAAATTTAATATGGGATTTGATTAATCGCACATCTCAACCTAATCCGTTGAAGCTTATGAAAAAAGAAATGGTCTACCATTGTACCGAAAGTAATCAAGCCAACTAATGCATGAGGTGGCAACAAACTAAGACTAACGACCAGAGAATCTTTCAAAGCTTTCAAATCATCGTCTTCAAGACAAGTATCGACCACAAACAAGAAAATTGGAGGAACCTGAGGCGCACGGTTAAGTGTATATTCGATGGTAGTATATTTAGGCAACAATTCGGCGGGAAGATTAGTGGCACTGATGTCTTTATAATGAGGAGGAAAGGCATTCCTCTGGAGGCAAAAAGGACATATCCAAAGTTTTCCGCGAACATCAATTTGACTAAAAAATGTATAAACGATCTAAGAGTGCGGCGCACCAACACGACCAGACTAGCATTGTTTTCACTAAGGTTTAAGTCAAATATTGCATACCAGTACGGATTCAAAATTGCTCGACATGGTGCTTTACAAGCAACAGGTTCGTAATATATTGGCGGTAGATCCTCTCTCTCCTTGAGTGGAGTGTAAAGGCATGATATGGGAACAACCGTCCTTGTCGCATCTAAGCGAGATGCCGGAAACACATTCCAGGAAAATCGAGCTCCATCCTGTTCTTCAATTTCTTCAAAATTCATTTTTTTTTTTCGAAGTTTTTTTTTTGCAGATGAATTCGAATCGGATATATTAGATCCTGTGACCTACGTGGTGAAATTCGTATGGCCGATATCTGATAGAACTTGTTGACTGATCGTGGTTAGTGCTGATATGCCAGGCATAATTGTAACTATTGTGACGAATTGGTCAATAAACTTCTACATAACATATAGGATTTGCATCCCGTTAATTCATTGTGATAATTTCCACTGTAAATGGTTTTCTCCTGTTAGACACCAACCCCCAATTCATCACATCCATAGCCTCCATAGACCAAAACCATTCATGTTGTTATACTTGAATAATTTCCATTATACTTGAAATAATTCTAGTCATCTAAATTAAAATAATTATATGATAATGATAAAAAAAATAAAATATCCAAAAAAAAAAAAAGAAATCTTTTTTTGTTGCAATCTGTTATCCATTGCACCCTAATCGTCACTCCTCTGAACTAATATGAAAGGAGATTGTATGAAAAGAAGCCGCACACAGAAAAACTAATGCTTGAGCGAAAGATTGAAGTCAGAGGTACGCAATCCTAATAAGTTTTTAAAAATTCCATGAGCCTTTCTCTTATATCTCGAAATTCTTCACTGATAAAGGTTAAGGTACTGGTTTACGTTCCAACAATGGAAGTTCACCACTAGCCATCGCCTAATGTTACGTTTTAATTGATGGGCAATTATTTGATTCCGTTTGTTTCTTCAATTATCTTGTGTTGAGGTGACATGCTACCAAACGTATATCTAATGGTATAATGCTTCGGCTCCCCTTCAATCGGTTGTATGAGCGGACGAACCACTAATTAAGTTAAATACAATTGAACCAAAAAAAAAGAACGTATCAATAATCCGAGTATAACACCATTGTATTTATGAAAGAAATTTCAAACCTTCAGCCCCGTTCGTAGCCTTTGAATTCTCTTGCGTTTGCAGGGTGGACGCTGAATTCAAAGAGATCCTCAACCTCACGTATTCTTGGTACATTGGATCATCTTGATTCGACGAGGTTTCTGCTATGAAGTGATCCAAGAGAAGTCTGCATATTTCTAAAAAAAAAAACAAGAAAGGAGGGAAAGGATGATGCAAAAAAGAAAATCACGGGCATTAATTAAACCTCGATCGAAAAGTCTTAGGCCGTAACCGTTCACGAATTAAATGAATCTCGCAATACCCTCGATATCTTCCTTTCTGCACAAGAAAACGTTAAACCAAGGTAAACTCCCTTTGCTCTCCGGGAAATTCTCCATGTGCAGTAGTTTCGCTGCCAAAAATATTGATGCAGACGCTATCGCATGTGGTGGAAATCTTAGGCAAATTGTGGTCTTGTAACTATCATTGGAACAACAAATTAATTAGAGATCTTTTTTTTTTTTTTTGAACAGACATGATCAAATACGCGTCATCACGTAATTTTTACCAATCATTTAGCGTTTTATACGCTTTAAGTGCCAAAGTTCTATCTCCTGCATAGAAATCAAATATACCTCGTTAGATAACCATCTTTCTCCCTCATTTCCACTATATGGATGAGACGAATAAAGTGACTCACCTTTCAACTTCTTCACAAACTTCATTAACAATTGATGTGGCGGCCAAATATGAAAATCAAAACATATGGTCTCCACGACCAGTCGCTCGAGCTGAATTACGCGGCGTCTTTGGTCTTC